AAATTAATTTGAAAGTGAGATAAATTGCAGCTTGTAAATATAAAATGATTCTGTGTATGCAGAATTTGATTACATATTTTTAAAAAGATATAAATGTGTATGTATGGATGTATGCACATGGGATTCATAAGGGAAAATAAATATTGGAAAAAATTATATTTCTGTTATTAAGTGACCTTAAACCTCAAAGAGTAAAACTCTTCAAAAAATATCTCCGTTCAATTAGTGAAGTAAATAGTAAATTGAATTAATAAAAAAATAATTGCAAAGTGTTTTTTTAGTTTTTTTTTTTTATTTGACAGAAATCTTCCATTACCAGGCCAGCGTCGACGATAATATTTAGTGTACCACTCTCGAAATATTTATTCATTTAACGGATTTTTCGAAATTTCGATTACTTCCGGCAAAGATTACAGGTATTCATTCTAAGAGCTTTTAATTTAAAATTTTTTAATGTTTTTTAATTTCGAACGGGATTTCAATTTTTTTTCACGATTATCATGATCAGGTGAGGCACTTTGGCTAACTGGAATTTTCAGGACTTTTTAGAAGTTTTTAATGATAGTTGAATAATTGCGATATTTTGAGACTTTTCAGTGTAAAAATTTTTGGTAATTTTCCGATCTACTGAAACCATTATTAATATTTTCAGCAAGTGTTTTTCAGATTTCAGATTTATTGTCACTTTTTTAATTTTTTTGGACTTTTAGAAAGTCTTTAAGTGATGATGTAATAAATATTTTTTTCTCTTTCCAACAAGAACTCGCACCAGGTTTCAATTAGACAGTCTTACGTGATCAGCCATATGAATAAAAACCTGAGGATATCGTACTGGAAATGCCAAATACGATTCAGAATTGTCTACCAAATGAAAGATAAAATTACAGTGTATTGGGTTCGGTCGAAAAAAACTTTGAAAACGCCCAATAGCCCAAAGATTTTTTTTACTAAATATTTGGGAAAATATCAATTGAAAATTTAAGTAGGTATATGTTTGGAATCTGCGGACTAAAATTTTTTTATTAAAAAAAAAATGAAAAATTTCCAAAACGTCAAGGTATGCATATTTTTGACGCTGGCGGTATATTAGGCATAGCTCGCATTTTTATTTCTTAAACTAGAAAATCACAAAAACCTACAATGAAAGAGGAGTCTAATGTTCCATCTTCTTGTCACTGAGATTCTAGGTACGTTGGTAATGCAGTTAAAATATTCAGCAATTCAGCTGTGAAGATTTGTGAAAATTCTGCTATTGCATATTTCACAGGGCAATATTTTTTACCAGTTAATGAGTTGGCAACAAAATTTACCGGTTACAAGAGAACACAGAATGCGAAAAAGGTTCTCCGGTTAAAACATTTTGGTTACCTGTGCAGAATCTTTTATCTGTAAAAGAATCTTTGATAAAATTTAAGTATCTCAGGACTTTTATTAGAACTGAAGTTAAAGTTAACAAACAATGAGGTTGTTGTGATTATAATTTTTATTCAGTTTACACAATAAGTTTTAACCAGGTAACCTGATAACCAGACTAGTGTGACCTCAACCTCAATAATTTTGCGTGTCTAAATAACTAAAATAAAAAAATTTAATTTTTCGACCAAACTTACTTAAATTTCTAACTTAGATCAAAATTAAAAAGAATTTGTGTATCTTTGCAATAGTTAATGTAAATGACAGACATGATGTCAGTAGTTCAAAAACTTTTGCTATAAATTCTGCACATCTGCAGTAGGTAGGTGTGTACAAGCAAAACTAGTTTGGTGACATTTCCAAGAAAAGGAAAATTGCTAAATATGCACACACGCACACACATTAACACATTCACAAATGTATTATTTTACGTGCACACACACGCATATAAACTTCGAAAAGTGATGTCGGCATGCTGTTGACATTTTTCGTCTAATTGAAATTACAAAATTTATGCATTCTTCTCATAATTTTCATTTGCTCTTCTTTTTGAGGATTTTTCATATATTTTTTTCGTTTCAAATGCTTTTTAATTTCCAGACCAAAATTTTTTTCATAGCAGTGCAATACTGTAGATAATAGAAACATTTCGTTATTTCTTAAAACAAAAATACAAAAGCAATACAAACAGCATTTTATTTTCGTATCTATGTGTCGCGCAAATTGTAAGCGTGTGTATGCCTGAGAGAGAGTATTTATGTATGTATGTTTGTTCGCGTATTTATATGTATATCTATCTGTGTTGGCAAACTTTCGCCAAAGTCATTATGCCATTTTGCATAGTTCTGTGTGTTGTTGCTTGTTGTTACTTGGCTGCACCGCCGTCAGACTGGCTTGAATGGCTGAGTTTTCCCGTTTGCCGCGCACATTGGCCATCATGATGCACAGCGCGAAGTGCGGCAGAAGGCATGGAGGCGGCGAAAATCTAATGGTGAAGGAGTGTAGTGTTTAAAGTCATTTCCATTGCTGCAACTTCGACTACTTTTGCCGCCGCTGCTGTTGCGACTAATACTGCTGGCGATTTATTTTTTTTTTTTGTTCTTCGTTGTGATTGTCTGCGCTAGCTGGTTGCATTTGCCGAGTTGCTATACAGATATGACTCTTTTTGTGTTGTTTTCTTTTTCACAACTGCTGCATTTGCTGCCGTCAACGCCGTTGGCAGCATTCCTAATTACGATCGTTTTAAACGCAATTTAACTTTAAACTCTACTTAAGCAAAAAATCGGAGCAAAGTTGTGAAAGACGATGATGCAGCAGCAGCAGCTGCATAAGCTGCTAAGAAGCTGCAAAGAAATTGAGTTGCATTCAAGTTATAGCAGCTGTAATTCTGCAACTTTTTCAATATCGATTTAAGTGGCTCAAACTAAAATGTTAAAGTTTCTGTGCTTTTATCGATTTATTTATTTAAAATTGAGCTTTATTTAATGTTTCTTGGAAAATATTCCCCATTATTTTGGTGTTTTTCAAATTAGATATTTGAAGTTACACAAATCTTCATAATTTTGGAATTAGAGAGATATTTGTGGACATAAATTTTCATATTTAGATTAATAGATATTTTATTTTATTTTTATTTTTGGATAATTATTTTATGTGCACCATGCAGCTGATTGGTATCGGTTTGGTACAGTGTTTTCGACAATCTAACAAAGACAAAATTGGCGCTTTAATCGCCTAAGCGATTTAGATCGAGTCGGACAAGGCACGCCAGTCGTTCCCCTTCTGTACCCATTGACGCCAATAGGAAATACTAAGTGAAGCCAAGTCCTTCTCCATCTAATAATTATAATAGATTGGCGCTTACACATACATATATTAGTGTTTGGCCGAGCTTCTACTCCGATTTTTGGCGGGCGACTTTATTTAAAAAAAAATCGCTTAAATTAAGGCTTGCGCCCTCGACTAAAATATCTGAAAATTTCATTTCTACGACCTCAAGGTCACTTATAGTCGTTTATTAAATAACCAAAACTGATGGAAACTTTATACTTAAGGATTCGTAATCAGCGAAAAAAGTATGTATATCAAAAACCGCTTTAACATTTTCCGCATCAAAATCAGTGTTGCCCTGTATAAAAATTTAGAAGTAGGGGTACGATTCGGTTATTTGTACAAAGACTTTGGCTTCTTGTAGCCGCACGTGTGAAATATGGACTTTTTTGTTAATATCGAAGGGAGTTTTACGCAAAAATACTAGATTGTGTAGCCATGGACTGATGAGTTTTATTTCGTCGAAGAGAGACCGAAGGTTGTCAACGCGGAAAATACTGTGGTCAGCGTAACTGGTGATGGACTTATGGCGGTAATTTTTTTGAAGCACGGCCGAAGTCCACCAATGCAGAAAGGAATTCCGGACAAAAATACTGTGGATGGCAGAAACCGAGTTTACATTTTCTGTGTCAAAATAAATAACTTTACCGCCAAATGGGTCTCCAGGGGACTGTAGAGAGTCAGAGGGGGAGGGGTGACTTTTCTTAAAGCTGGGACTGTGCTCTTTCTATAGGGTTGGGCTAAAAAACAGCATACTCACAATTTTTATAAAAAATCTAATTAAAAAATTTAAAATTTCGATGAAATTTTTATGAAATTAAAAAAACTTTTCGTGGGGATTTTGCTGTTTGCTATATTTGTATGAAAAATAAGAAAAATTTGTTACGGAAAGTATAAAAAAATAAAATCGTCAAAATATAAATATCAGTTTAGATATGCACATTTTAGGCGCTGTCTGTATGTAATAACATTAGAAAATCTATCCTTACTCTGTAGAAAATGGATAATAAGCAGCAATAAGAAATTATTAAACTTTTTGTTTTAAGTAGTAGATAAATTTAATTACAGTTAAAAGATCTCTATTAAAAAAAAAAAACTAAATTCCTCTGCCCATCTGAAATGTTATAAATCAACATTGACCACAACGCAAAATTGAATACTTACGAAATACGTGGCTTATTATGGCTTAAAATGTTTATTATATTTTTCTACAGTTCCTACCCTAATCTTGAGTGCCGTTATCTGAGCGCAAATATTATATTTGAAATGAGAAATCTTTATTTCCTGATTATTTTTATTTTACTCCCTTTTTATTTACTTATTTTTTACGACCCATATTAAAAAAAAAAAAAATTCTCTTCATTTACATGTAAAGTGCCTTGCTGTGATGTAAATACATATAAATGTATAAGTATGTACATATGTATGTTTGTATGTATGGTGGCACAAGCTCGCCTAAAATTCATAAAATTTTCATGGTAATCCCAAGGCCATAATCCGAATTATAAGGATTTCAATAGCAAGCAAAATTAGTTGAACAAAGAAAAATCAAAAAAAAAAGTAAGTACGTATGTGTATTTGTAAGTATATTTTCGATGTTTGAAGGGGAAGCGGAGTTGAAAACAGCAATAAAATATAAACGCCAAAAATTCAAATGCTATTGTATTACATTCGTTTTTAATTAAAAATGACAGCAGCAAAAAAAAACACAAAGCAACGCGAAGTACACAAAAAAAAAAGAAAAAGCTGCGACTTACCCGCGATTAGCACAATGAAGCAGAGCAGCAACTCGATCTCCATGTTGTGGCTGAGATGAAGCGCAGGCAGCAGGGTCGGTTGCAGGAGTGAATGCGATATTAAATTTTCAACTGCTTGAAAATTTTAATTTCTGGCGAAATTTTAGATACATACAGTAGGATTTGTTATTATTTTAATTTCATTTTTCGGTAGCTACTGGCAAACTTTGGCTGGTTGGTTGGTTTCCCGCTGACGATTGGATTTTGCTGATTTTGTTTTTGTTGCGGTTTTTGTCTTTAATATATAACCTTTTTATTCGGGGATTTCTTCTTGGTTCTTATACTAGTACTTGTTGCTTTTTTACGTATGCCTTCCAAACACTTTTAATTACGATTTTTTTTTTTTGCTACATCTTTAATTCTTCCAATTTTTTTGTAGGTCTTTAGTCTTTTCAAATCTATTTCTTTTTTCAGCGCAATTTTTATTTCTTTATTACTTGATGCTCTTCTCAACAATGGTGCAAATGGCTTTAATGTATGAACATTTTTTATTTACATACATACATAAGTCAAATGCAATAAGTATATCATGTTTCTGTTGTTGTCATCAGAAATAGAGGTATTCTAAACTTTTACGTGTATAAATACAACTTTTTTTGTCGTTTGTTCAATGAATTTTTTTTCTAAATTCTACCTCAACACGTCACGTCACGTTCAGGTCTCCTTTTATAGCATCTGCACTTACTGCTAGAAGGACGGCGATAAACTCAATATGTGGCATGGATAGAAACAAGTTGTATGCTAAAGTTGCAAGGTGGTTAGTTTAATGGAGAAAATAAAATGTCTGTGAGAGATTGTAGTTATGTAGGTCTTACGGCTTGATGTCGGGAAATTCGATTTTATGCATGGAATTGATCTTTCTCACACAGCATAGAAAACTTCATACAGTTGCTAGTTTCCGATACCAAAGCCCAGGATCACAGGGTGAGCAGACCCTAAGCAAACTTCGGTTTTTCTTAAAAGTGAAAGCGACACTCTGGGTGAGATGTCAAATTTAAGTGTTTGATCTGTAGATATGCAAACTGGTTTTAGTTTTTCGAAAATATCAATACCATCAAATCTGCACCATTCGTTCGATTTTCCAAAATGAGGCGTCAAACCAAAAGCCTTGAACTGTAGATGTGCAATAAGGTTTTACTTTTTTGAAAAGAGTTGCCACCTTTTAAAAAAATATATTCAGATTATTAAAAAAATCAATTATTACAAACTGGGTATCAATCGAAATGGTTTTGAAGAGCTTTGTTTCTTAGCTGAACTATAGAAGAGTTGCCACCTATTTCAAAAATCATATAAGGTTAGAGAAATACGTATCAGCACATGGGTGCCAAACGAAAAGGGTTTCAGAAAGAAGTAGATTGCAAATATTTTAAAGAGGGTTGCCACCTGCTTGAAATTTCGAATTTAGGTTAGTTACACAAGTTTTACGAAATATCTAAATATGGTTGTCAAACGAAGGAGTATTAAGAAATCCTTAGTTTGAACGCTAAAAATATTTCTGAGTTGTTGGAATAGGGTTGCCATCTGTCTAAAAACTTAAATTCAAATTATTTTATAAGCTAAATGAATTACTAAAATATGGGTATCAATCGAAGGGGTTTTAAAAAAGTTTCATTTCTGAACTGTATTTAGCGGGGTTGCCATATGTTTGAAAATTAAAATTTCACTTAATTCATCAGTTAATTAAAATATGTTTCCCAGTGTCCGGTGAAGGAGGGTTAACAAATATTAAGCTTTAAAAAATTTTTGAAGAGAGCTGCCATCTGTTTGAAAGGTCTAACTCAATTAACTAATTCAAAAAGAATATGAAATATAAAAATACCGTAATCAAACGAAGGAACGTTAAGAAATCTTTAGTTTTGAGGTTTCAAATATTTGAAGAGAGTTGCCACGTGTTAATAAAGTTAAATTAAAATTATTCAGTAAGTTGGATGAATTAGTAAAAGATAGGTATCAATCAAAATGGGTTTGAAAGGGATTTATTTCTGACATCTTTTAGGAGGATTGGAGTGTCCGCACAACCAAAATTTTAATTAGTTCATCAGTTTATTGAAATACAGGTGTATCACCATATCAGACGAAAGAGATTTAATAAGATTTTAGTTTGAGAATACTTTTATAAAGGAATTTCAACAAGTAAGAGGTCAAATTAGAGACCTTAGCCTGTAGATGTGTGATATCGTTTTATTTTTTTAATTAAGACCTTTTTTCATCAGTTTAGGATAATTTGAAATTCGATGAAAATAAAAACATGCACTAGGCCAGACTGCTTTTCACTCGAAACGGCTGCACGGTTTTGATAAAATATGGCACTCGGATCTCTTATAGCTCTAACTAACATTTGAAATATTTTCTAAGTTTTTGAAATTCAATTTTGGGCGTTTTAACGCCATGCGGATTCACTAGTTATATATTTTGTTATAATTTTCCCCGCACTGTAATCATCCTTTTCACAGTTAAAACGGAGGGGCCTAGAATATAGTACTTCAGATTGACGAAGCCCTACAGAAGCTTGAAATAACAACAACAAGAATTCAGTTTGAATAAATAAATTTTTCGTCCCCTCATCCTTTTCAATGAAGAGAGCTTTAAGAGTGAAGTTAATACATTAGTGCAGCAAACGGATAAGCCGTTCATGTCACATATTTCTGACACATCTTTCATGAATCTCCGGAATGTCTTAATTTATTTTTATCGATCAAAAATTGATCGATCGTAATAATTTTTTGGCTTATTTTTCATGGAGCTTTCTAACCTAAATCGAAGCCTTGACAAGTAACTGGCTTGGCCTTCCGAAATTGAGGGCAAAATGAGTTTTGCATCTCAATCAATTGTAAGCAAAATTTTCACACAGTTTCTACAGGTTCTTTCAACGGCAGACGGCGCGAGTGTTATAACTGGCTGCGGACAAAGGCTGAACTTGTGTCTGCCAGAGCAGGCTAATTTTGTTATGTTTTCCAACACAATTTAGCCAAAACTTACATTGACGCACTAGTTTGGAAGCAGTCGAGTTGGCTGTCCAATGCTTCAGTGTATCACTATTTATGTAGGCTGTGATGCCTTTGAGTATTGTACTAGGGACTATTTGAGGCACGTAATAAAAGCGGCATTACTGCCGCACTGTTGAAAATTTGCAACACTGTTGCAACTGCCCAACCAATAAAGCGTTGCTGGAAATTCACACCAAACGTGATACTTTAATGATTTGCGCAACACGGCGGTTGTGATTGCATCCCGAATATGCCCATACCTTCGGCTAGGGGAATACTGAGGTATATTTCCTCAGACACAAGTGAATATATATATTGTTCCCATCACTATTTATATAGACCACATATCCTGATCTTGCATCAGTTTTGAAACCAACAGTAATGGTTCTGTAATATATAGAGCAGAGCTGAGTATTGGGGTTAAACCTTTATTCAGTTTAGAAGCTAATCAGCACTCAGCATCGAAAAGCTACATATTCATTGTAATTATAGTATTCCTTCAGCAAACGCAACGATGTGGCACTGATAAGAAACTTGTGACACTTGTGTGTATTATATCAGCATCTTTTTTATGCCTAAAATTTTCTGCAGTGCCTTCTGGCCAACGAAGTTATTAGGTGACTGTAGGTGAGCAGTACATCTGTAGTAGCCTCAGCTATTGTAGGGAAAGCTCCAAGCTTCCAAACTCCCATATAGCATACTGCGATCGTTTTGTGAGGTTTTATACGAAGATTTCTTGCGCTTGTGATTTAGGGTATGCTCCATCAAGATAGAAGCTTAGCTGACAATCAATTTTACACACAATTTAAATATTTGACAGACCCCATGTCTTACAAAAGACCCTTTTATATTGCCAACACGCTATTAAGTCTATGGAGGTATTTTTCTCAAAAGGAGACCTCCGTCAAAGTTTACTTTCTATTTAGTATTAAACCAAAATACCTCACTTTGAGCAGCGACTAATAACCTTTCATTCTAGAAAAGAGCCCAAAGCTGGTTTTGTTTGAGCTACGCGATAATGGAGCCTCATTACATCAAATGCCAATCCTATTGAGTGTTCTTTGCGATATTTTGAAAACAACTAAGGGCGAAGTGCCTGAATGGAGGTAGGCCACATTGTTTGCATATAGATCTGAGCTGTTAAAGTGAAAAAGCAGTGAACCATTATTTACCAAGCCACAAAGCAACGCAGAAAACAGGCAGCCTTAGAATAACGCTTAGAATTTCGCACGAATCACGTTGACCACCTACTGTATGAATCTGAATGTCCCTTTTCGTAAGTATTAAACGAATCCAATTTATTTCCATAGTCTTATTTTAACGTTGAGCTATTAAAAATACATTTCCCAATACCTCAAAGTGTACATATATTATGTAAAAATTTTGAGAGAAATCTCAACATTTGTATAACACAAAGCCCCCTCAAAGCAAGCTCTCAATCGAGGGGGAAATTTGCATACTCTTTTCCCATCGTATGTGGAGCGGTCTGATCTAATCTAAAATTTATATACACTTGAATACATTAGCAATGAAATTTAACCCGTCGAGGGTTTTTTGTCCCGCAACAACTTGCCACACTTTCACATTCGCCTTACAACTTTTATAAGTATGTACATCCATTTGCATCCACTTTTCATTTTTATGTCTCTAGCTTACAGACTCAAAAAATGCTTTTAAACTAATTATCCTTTCTTTCCAACCCTTTAAGTAACCTTATACGGTCCTTTTCCCCTCCCACCTATACCAGCACAAATGGATTAACTGCTAAGCGCAACTGTTCAACTGTTGTGGCAGGCATTTGGCTATGTGTAAGTGCAAGCAAATAGTTTAGTTGGCGCTTAGTGTTTTACTCGCTTTGTTGTTGATGTTGCACGTTTTTTTCTTACTGTTGCTGTTGGCATTCTATGTATGTCTGTATGTGTAGCTGACTTTAACTTACAGCATAGCAGACAAGTTATAATTCACTTTAACCATTGCAAAAACTAAACTCGTACATTAGTGGAACACACTTCTGCACTTTCCGAACAGCTACATATGTATGTATGTACATACACAGATGTAGTGGTTCTTCATTTATGGAAATTACTCGTATCTATTCGCACACCGTGCTAAATTCTTACTTTTTCCAAGCCACGCGCGCACAGCCAGATATGTGAGGGTATGTAAATGAGGAGCGTTTATTTTTAGCAACGTAGCGCTTGTCTATAACGTAAATAGAAGAACACAAAACACTTTTTGATTTGCGTGAGTAAATCACTGCAGATTGCCTGCTTTTAGGCGCTTACACATTGTAACAAAACTTGTACTTTTGCAATTCATTTATTCATTTTGTATCTACAGCTAATGAAATTGATTACCTATGAAAGAGAATATCGATAAATTTCTCGCTTCTAATTGACCTTTGACATTTGGTGATTTATTGCCTGTTACCAGTTTTAGCACACACGCACTCACTCACATATATACATATGTAGATACATATATAAGCACGTATGTCCGCGTGGACAGCGTAAAAGCACATTGGTTTCGCTGTCCATTAAACGTTTACTCCTACTTTATTAAATATGTCACTGCACTGCAGCATATACACAAAATAAAAACCGAAGTTTAAATCAATGCTGCATTTTTCATTGAATTTTTTCGATTTTTCACATTTTCTTTTTCCCCGCATAACACGATTGTCATATTTTGTCAGCTTTTTGTTGTTTCACTTCTATTTCGCCCTTTTGTTGGCGTGCACACACAGTCTCCGTCTTCTTTTACTACTCTGTTTCAAGTTTATGAACTGACTGAAGTGTCAAATGTGCTGAGTTGATGCTCCAGCTGTCCTGATTGAGCATCCTATTTAGTAACTGGCCAACAATGTTGGCATTCGTTACGTCTCGGTTTGTGTCCTGCATCCATTCGTATCTGTTCGCTGGCACGGCTTCTGTCATATTTTAGATTTTTCAGCTGTAACTACAATACATGTGTACTCGTGTGCTCGGGTTGTTCTCGTATGACTCTTGGATGCTGCGCCAAGGAGTCTACATATTTACACACATTAATATGTGCGCTCTGAGAGCATTGCTCGTTACAGTTTGAAACATAAACAGAGCATTTGAATTCGCTGCCTTACGTCCACTAGTTAATACACCTCTCTTGTCGCATTGTAGCTGACTAGTAACATCTCTGTATTTAATGTCGCCTATGGGTGGCAGGAATTGCTGCATATGTTATTATTTACATTTGAGCAAATGCTGCTGTTATTTTGTTCTGTTATCTTATACATAAATAGGCAAACATGTTTCTTTACACTCCTTTTACAGCTAAACTCTACTTCGAAGGTAAAAAAGAAGAGAGAATTATATATCATTCGAAAGATGAAATGCAGAAAATTTGCAGAAGAAAATATCAATTCAAAATAGAAACTAATACAAATGCCATAAATCATTATATAAATAGGCAATCATGTTTCCTTTACACCCCTTTTACGGCTAAACTGTACTTCTAAGGTATAAACAATTATATATCATTAGAAAGGTATTTTGATGCTGATGTGCAGGCAGTTTTTAAAATTTCAAATTAGTTTAAAATAGAGCGAAAAAATCAATTCAAAAGTCACACCAATACCAATGCCATACACGTACATGGTTGGGGCGGAAATGCCTCCTAAATGTATGCTTTAATATTGATAGTGAATTAAAGAAACGTGCTAAGCAGCAGTTTAGGAATAAGATGTATGTATGTATGTACATGAATAGATTAGCCTCAAACAAGGAAGAAGGTAAAGTTGAGTATGGGGAAGAAGAAAGTGATAAATACAGAAATTAAAATAAAAGTAAAGAAGATATAAAGACAAAGAGGAAGGAAAATTTAAATACCTAACCTAATAACAATGGTGGGGGTGAATATGTAAATGAAGAAAAGAATGGACATATTTAGATCAGGATAAAGGAAAAGATAAAGATGAAGACCTAGACGACGAAGATGAAGATGAAGATGAAGATGAAGATGAAGATGAAGATGAAGA